TCTCTGAATCGCAGCAGTCACTCTATCAGATATGAATGGTATACATAGCGGGAGCTTGTTTTGGCGCGGTACGCGTCGGTGCTCAGTGTGAGTTCTTCTACGATTAGCTGGTACAGGATAGCCATTTGAAGCGGCTATATCAGAAGCAAGCCGTACGGATTCTTGCCGCTCTGCTGCCCCTGTGCTTACGTTTGCTGCAGTCCTAAACATGTTTCTCACGACTGCATGCTTCAAAGCAGAAGGATGTGCAGATGTGGCATGAATCAAGATGTTCTTGGAGCTTGCTTTTCTGTACCATTTCACACTGAGTATGCCATCAAACACTTTCACCTGCGTATTGAGGTAAGGAAGCCAACCATTCGTGGAACTTCGCGTGTGAGCTTAATGTACTGAGACTGCTCATTCATTAGTCGAAAACACTCATCCATTTCGGATTGTGTTGATGTTACAATGAAGCAGTCATCTATGTACCTGCAGTACATTAACGGTAAACGTTCCAGCACTGGTTCTTCTATCCTGCTCATAAAGCAGATTGCAAGTACCGGTGCTAGACGTTGACCCATTGCTAACCCCCTTGTTTGGGAATAATATACAGGGGGGGCCAAAAAAAGTCACTTTCCTTCATTGACTTTCGAGGCGCTATAAGTTACACTTTATAATGATCGGACATTTTTACCACCATATTAAAGAGCATATTAAATACTATCATGACACTCCGCCACAGCCTTCTGGACGAGCGCCATCGAGAGATTCTGGCACGCGACCGCGATGTGGTGCCTGAGATCAGCGAGATAGTCGATTTCTCCGCCACCGTAGACCACCCTATTGAACTCCGCCCGAACCGGGTAATTGAGGGATTCAGGTCAGGTGACCTACTTGGATATTCCACCTTCTTTAGGTATTCAGCCCCCTTCCATTCCAAGTAGGCGAGAGTTTCTCCAATGCCCTTCGATTCCATGTGGTGGCACCCAATGCTGTAGCAGTACAAAGTTTCCAAGAAGGTACGGGCGACGACATGTGAGGAGGATATTCTTCACGAGTTGCTCGATGTAACCGCCAGCGCTCACCTTCAGTCCGGGGTCCACGAAGAAAATATCGGTCTTTCCAGGTACGTCCGGTCCATACCATCAACCCGCGCCTTGGCGACTGCGGTGAAGATGATGTCCTAGACCGTAGCGACGTTGTCGGAGCTGCTCGATGTTGGAGGTTTCCAGATCGAGAGTACTGGTCTCCAGGTAGCTATCCATGGGTGACTCCATACTAGAAGTTTCGCAGCTGTTTGGAGGTGACATGAATTCCAAAGGTCTTCTCCAGTCAGGCTGCGACTGGAGATGACTTCATATTTTGGTGTACATGAAGGTGATGGGCGAGAGCCAGCTCCTGCTTATAGAGGAACATCTTGGGTATCTTCCGCCCTGGTACTCGTATCTCTGTCTGGGCAGCGAAAACTTTGCTGATATGTGACTCGGTCGAAATGTACTTTTTTTTGGCCCCCCCCCTGCTGTATACCCGACCACTTGAAGATGTTGCAACCTAGACATTCCTTGATTAGAGTCATGATGTGCACTTTGTTGAGTCCAAAAGTCTCTGTGCTCTCAGCATGCCTGTCCAACATTTCAGACAGTGCCTGTAGAGCTTGATCGTTTTGGACGTTGGTATAAAGCGAAGTGACATCAAATGACTCTACTACGCAGCTTGTTCCCAAGCGTAAATTGCGTAGTTGTTCAAGGAACTTTGTCGTATTGGTCAAGTGGGAGGGAATCTTGGTTAGCAACTGGCTCACAATACAGTTCAGGAACCATGAAATACGATCGGTTGGACCTCCGACGCAGCTGATTATAGGTCTTATCTTGAAAGTGTTTGGTGACGTCGACTGCATATCACTAGGAGCGAGTTTGTGGGTCTTCACGAGACTATAGAAGACAGGACAACTTGGGTTGTCAAGTCTGAGTCTACTAAGAAATTTCTCGTTGAGACCCGCAGACAGACCCTGAGCCATCCAAACATTGTTGAGGCGCCTGCACTTGGGCCACATTTTCGCTCGTGCGCAGGTAGAGCGCGAGCTCGAGCCTTGTCTCGTCAGAAGCGGCATCAAGAGGAGTCTGGTCCATTGTTGAAAAAAAAACCAGGATGCCAGTGGTCCATACGCTCCCGGGATATGGGAGCAGGTCATTGATGAAGGAGAAATACTCAAAGGCAGTTGGCACGATAAATCCCCCAAGACGAGTAGGATTAATACGCCTGGCAGGACGGAATTCCGCGACCCTGAGCAGGCGCTGCATAGCGCCTTTTCCAAGGAAGGTGCCCTTATAAGGGCCCTATGAAGCTACAACATTACCCCGCCCGCCCACAAATGGACGACCGTTCCTGACGCTCGTACTGCTTCATTTGCTAAGCAAATTATGAAGCGAAGGGATTGGTATGAAGCGGCCGTGATGCTGCATGCATATATGGGTACACATATGCAGCCGTATCTTCGGTAGCGGATTGGCAAGATGCCTACGGGAAACTCGTCCGAAATCGATTTTCAAGTCACTGAGAACGGAGGCTTTTCTTCGCAGGATTTTGACCGTTTCACTCCGTTCTTTCGCCATTTCCCCACTATATAGCGCCCTACTAGCATTTTAGGCCGAGCACCAAATCATCGTGCCAACTGCCTTTAATTTGAAGCCAAAAAGGTACATGTTTATCTGTCCTCCTCTTTGTTTTGATTGAATAAGCGTCCACGTTTCTGATTGGGATGACCTAACATTAACGACACGAGATTACAGCAAGAGAGAAGCTCTAGAATACCTGTTCAGAGGCTATGAAATTTAATTTGAGTACACAGATTCATCGTTCACTTCACAACCCACTGGTTCTGATTGTGAAGTGTTATGAGAGCGAAGCTTGGCGCTGTTTGTCGACGGGGGGGGGGGCATTTTGTATTATCATTGCTTCCCTAGTTCCGGTTTACAAATCTCACTCTGGTAAAACTTGTGAACTCTTGTGAAGCTGAAGTAAGATCGTCTAGCCACTATCCTAAAACGTGTCAACTCGAGAAACGGCTGCCTAGATGGGTCGACACATCTATGGAAAGCAAAATGCCCCCCCGTCGACAAACTGCGCCGCGAAGCTTGGTCCCGTCAAGGTAATACTATTGCGAAGCCGGTTAATCGTCTTCATACGTGTACAGGGGGGGGGGCAAAAAAGACACTTTGGCCGAGTCACATATCAGTAAAGTTTACGCAGCCCAGACAGAGACGTGGATACGAGTACCAGGGCGGAAGATACCCAAGATGTTCCTCGACAAGCAGGAGCTGGCTCTCATCCATCACCTTCATGTACACCAAAATATGAATCATCTCCAACCGCAGCATCTCCAACAGCAGCAGGACTGGAGAAGGCCTATGGAATTCATGTCACCTCTAAACAAGTGCGAAACCTCTTATAAAGGGTCACCCGTTGACAGCTACCTAGGGCTAGTACTCTTGAGCTGGGCCCTCCAACATCGAGCAGCTCCGACAACGTCGCTACGGTCCAGGATATCATCTTCACCGCAGTCGCCAAGGCGCGGGTTGATGGTATGGACCGGAAGTTCCTGGAATGGGAAGACCGATATTTTCTTCGTGGACCCCGGACTGAAAGTGAACGCTGACGGTTACATCGACCAACTCGAGAAATATCCTGCCTTCATGTCGTCGCCTGTACCATCTTGGAAACTTCGCACTGCTACAGGATTGAGGTGCCACCACACGGAATCGAAGGGTGTTGGAAAGCTCTCCAGTCAGAAGTTGATAAAGTGTAATTTATACCATTTTAGAAGTCGGGCAAAAAAGTGCTTTTTGGCACTATTTACCCTTTACTGCCCCAACCATCCAGAATTGAGCCAGTTTCTGACCGACTTTTTTCTCCGTGGACAGATTTGGCTCAAATGTTGTCTCCTGGGGTAGTTTGACCTCCTGAATACGAATATCACATTCGCTCAGCCCGAAACTTCCTGGCGCCCGCGCCACAGGCGCCAATGATTTGAGGGTATTTTGGCGCGCCTGTAGCTCGGGCTCCAGGAGGTTTTGTGAGCGGATGTGATATTCGTGTTCAGGAGGTCGAACTACCCCTGCGAAGAAGTTTTCAGCGATTTTGGGTATTTTGGCGCTGGCGCCTGTGGCGCGGGCGCCAGGTTTCGTGCCAGGCGGATGTGATATTCATGTTCAGGAGGTCAAACTACCCCAGGGTACAAATTTTCAGCCAATTCTGCCGACGCAGAAAAAAGTCGGTCAAAAACTGGCCTGTTTTCGGAAGACTGGGGCAGTAAAGGGTAAATAGTGCCCCTTTTCCTTACCCCTGTGGTTCGGATTTTTTTGGTCAAATGTTGGACCCTCAAACAAGGGCTATGCACATCGCTCTTCTAGCATGATTCCACATGTACTGCGTTAATTTCGAACAATTCCGCTTTTTACTGCTGTGCTGGGACAATGACAACTTTTGACCTCTACTGTAAGTGTTACGAGGCACCATTGTACCTTCCCCTCCTCCGTTACTTCCAAAGCTCAACACGACAACTCGTTTGTTTGCTCCTGCAAACTATAGAGTTCATGGACTGTTATACGCATTGATGTCGACTCGAGTTCTTGAATAATCGCCCTGTAAACCAGGTCAATTATTCAAGTGGTCTGCAGAAGTGCAAAGAGGAGTACGGGCCGATTGTAGTGAACTTCACTAAGGTGGAAATGGTTTATTTCAAGAGAAATTGCACAGAACATACCAAGACGCGTCAAACATTCTTGATAAAACATTACAATCTGGCATTCCTCTGAACTGTAACCAGTCAAACTTAACAACGTCAAAGATCTTCAAAGGGTTCTCAGTATAAGATGCTTCACACTAGAATGGAATGTGGAAGTGCTTCCGATCTTGACAACATAAAACACCTTGCTAAAACAATCAAAATACCCTATAAACCGTACCAAGAGCGGAAACATCACAAAAATACCCAATGATGCGGCACATGGGACATCCCTTTATAGTTCCATGTGCTGTGGCTCCTCATGATCTGGATCATTACATGCGGCCGGTGTACGGAATACGAAGCGATATTCACACTTCGCCGGTTCCGTTGCCTCTATTAATTCTGACGTTTCGCCACATTGAATTTCCACCTAAGGCATACAGGAATGATGAGCGTTCATAAATATATTCAAGTCAACTCAAACCTCAGTGGACCGTTGAGGACCATTCCAACATTGTTGTCCGCCGCTGTAGCTTTGCTTGGAGTATTTATGTGGAGGCTCCCCGGTCCAATCTTTCCAGTTCCTGAATTTATAACACTTAAATGCTGAGCAAATTTATCGGCAAGGGTTAATCATCTGGTACATCCATCGGGAGAAAAAACAGTGAATGCGCCCCAGTCGTTACACTTGCTGCAACTTATGATATCTGCCTCGACCTTGTTGCCATACATACAGGGGGGGGGGGGCAAAAAAGTCTTTTTCTTCATTGACTTTCGAGGCGCTATAAGTTACACTTTATTAAATTCTGATCGGACATCCACCACCATATTAAAGAGCATATTAAATACTATCATGACACTCCGCCACAGCCTTCTGGACGAGCGCCATCGAGAGATTCTGGCACGCGACCGCGATGTGGTGCCTGAGATCAGCGAGATAGTCGATTTCTCCGCCACCGTAGACCACCCTATTGAACTCCGCCCGAACCGGGTAATTGAAGGGATTCAGGTCAGGTGACCTACTTGGATATTCCATCTTCTTTAGGTACCCAGCCCCTTTCCATTCGCGAAGTTATGGCGAGAGTTCTCCAAGCTACCTACTAGTTCCTATGTGGTGGCACCCAATGCCTGTAGCTACGCAAGTTGCCAAGACACGAAGTACGCCATCGACGACATGTGAGGACGGCATATTGCTTCACGAGTAGCTCGAATGTAAACGCTAGAGCTCGCTCACTTTATGTCATGGCGCCCGTCCACAAAGAAAACATTGGTCTTCCCAATTCACGTAGGGTCCAGCCTACATCAACCGCGCACCTTGACCAACTTGCGGAAGAATGATATCTAGACGTGAGGCTTGTCGGAGCTTGCTCGATTGTGGACGTCATTCCATATCGAGCTAGTACGGGCTTAGTGCATCCATGTCGGTGACTCCATACTAGATATTTTTTGCCAATGTCAGGTGACCGTGACATTCCATTAATTTCTGCAGTCAGCTGCCTGGCAGAATGACTTCAATATTTTTGGACTGCTGCATGAAAAGTGACGAACGTGGACGGATAGGCTCTACTGGCTCGAGTACAACTATCGATCTTATCTTCCCCCTCCGTACTCCCGTATCCACGTCCTCTGTCTGGCTAACGAAACTTTGCTGAATATGTGACTCCTGTCGAAGTGACTTTCCCCCCCCTTCCCCTGTACTTGCCTCTTCACTAGATTTCATGTCTAAACTGTTGATCGCTACTTATTCTTATAAAAACGGTCAAAATGTGGTTGAACTAGAACTTTGCAAAACCCCAATTGTCTTAGCAGTGGGGACGCATTCGCCAGTATAAACCCGAACATGATCGTATATGTATATCCCCGAGGAAGTTTCTCATAACCCATCTTGATCCTTCTGACTTTTTATCGAATGACAGTATTGTAGCGTGTACTGACCATTATCAATCAATTTTCGTTAACACTGTCCTTTGAGCGCTGCCCACGCATGATCACTGCCAAAGTCCTGTTCAGTGAAGGACTCCGCTTCACTGAAATCCCATGCTTCAACACAATTAAGTGAGTAGAAACTTCTATGGATTCTCACCGTATTTGACTCTCCAAGGTACTGACTTTAATATCCACCTCGTCGTATTCTTTACGAGCAGCTTCCGCTTCTGAAGTGAGAGAAGCTTTGAAAATACCGCGTTACAGAAGAAAAGAAAAAAGTAAGAGGTTAAAAATAAATAGCAATGTGGGAAACAGTGCACTGTTCAGCATACTTCTTGGTCCAGTATCCTGAGCTTGGCCCCTTTAGGCAACAATTTTGTCGAGGCTATTAATCCCACCTCTTTGAACCGTTCGCAATAACTTTTCAAAACAACGGGTGGTACAATATTATGGGAAGAGGTTCTATTTGTTCCCTTGTTTGTGCTCAAACCGTGTTTCCTAAAGTGTTCAACTACAAACAAGAACACAACTGTCATGATTGACTTTCCAAAAAAATTTCCAGTGAAAAAACTGAGTTAAGAGCTTAGTTTCCTTCAGAACAATCTCCGGGTCTTCTATCACAGGCTTAAAGATGCTTTGGAAACGCGCTGGTTGTGAATAGGAAGTTCGTCGCGTTATATGCTCTAGGCATTTTAAGTGATACCTCCACCAAAGTACAGTTGAGTATTGCCATGGTCTCCCAATTTGCAGATACCCTGCTGGCTGGGACACTATCCCTGAAAATCGATGAATCCTGGAAACTTCCTCTTCCACCACTAATGGACAATCTTAGCTTCATAGATAGTGGCATATAACGTTGAAAGCACCGTTTCCTGATAGCAAAATGTGCCTGAGCCAGGGGTGAGATCCTCTGGATATTCAAATGAGCGTCGCGATAAACTTTGTGCCTTGCGCATGGGGTTTTCCCGGTAGCGCTTGCCTTAGTTGTGATGATGGCAGAGGGCAGTACTACGAGCTATGTCATATTCTCTACGCAAATTAATGATAGAAATGCAGCGAGACGGTGAGTTCACCTTTTCACGAAAAGAGCTGGAGCTTCGCAGTGAACCGAACAATAACGAAAGTGAAGATTCGTTGAAAAAGGTTAGCACCTGGGCAGTTGAAGTTCCCGGGCCTGCACTTGACTTCATAACTTTGCCCACACTTGTAGTTCACGGGAAATCACTAATCCACATGAAATAATGGCAGGACACAACCCATTGGAACCGCTCCAAAGTTTCACAAGGATCTCAGACTGCCAATGAAGGTTTATCACATCAAAATGTTACCTTCCATCGCTTTCTTGGTTTCCTCGTCATATGGAGGCATAACGAAATCATGGTCATCATCACGTGGCGGAGGCATGGGCGGCTTTTGTGTTGTTGTCTCTCCTCGATCTTCATCTAAAGAGATTCATACTGCCACTTAATTCCGCTGGCTTAGACAAACCATATCTCCCGTAGTCGTTCTTCTACCCATGCCTATTTCTTTTTCCAAATAGCCACCTACCAGCAGTGAGATCGTCGTGTTCATCGTGTTCATCGTGTTCATAATCTTGCTCGGCGTCTCTCTTCAAATCTTCAGCACTCCTCTTTAGATTCTTCAAATTGTCATACATATTGCTTGAGGAAATGTTCCGCGTCAGCTTCTTCAACAGACATGTGACTCTGAAAATCAATAATAAGTGAGTAAAAATAGCACCAGTTGTAACTAATCCGGTAACTGGGAGCAGCTATTACTGTGCTAGCCAGGTGTGCATTATTCCTTATATGCTACATGTCACATGCTGCAAATGAATAACGCTGACTATAGGAAGCCTGCGCAGAGTCTAGGTCTCCAAGGCATACACTGAACTGAAGAGACTGGACTGACTACTGAATCGAAGAGATGGGCGTGCAGTGGAAATGATGACGCCGGGGACACCTCATATACGCGAGTGCAAAAGGAAATCTGGAGTTCCAAAACGATACGCAGTCGAAGATCATGGAAACTACCACATCTGTCATGTAATTTAACCCTAAGATTCAGTGGGAAGGGCACGTCACGATTTTATGATGGTCATTGGTCCCATTTGTTAATGGTAGAATTCCAACAGGGCGATAATAGCCCGATATTCTTTTGACAGATTTATTCACGAGAACTCTGCACGTAAGAAATCAACGGCTCTGTATGTATTCCTTGAAAGCACCAGAACTCAATGACTACTCTAGCTGGCAACAGAAGCGAGAGCAGGCGTGGGAGGTTGTCTAAACTGCCCGGGGAGGGCAGCGTTCATACTTTGCGTCAGCGTAGCTAGCCGGCGTACGGCAGCGCTTCGAGCATATGCCAGCGCCAGCGTCAAGAAAGTATAGCTATCGACCTAGCGTACGCCAACGCATCCCAGTTTTCGCGGGTAGTTTTGCTTCAGCTCGAATTGTAGTACGCTTTCCAATGCCTACACACCGAGGTAGTATTAGGTCATCCCATTCAAACGTGCCGCTGGTTTTTTTTTGAATAAAACAAAGAGGAGAATAAATAGAAAAGTGATATTTTAGCTTTAGGATGAGTAAATCCCTCCTTCACCAATGACCCGCTCCCAGTGCCCGAGGGCCTTTGGACCTCTGGTACCTTCGATTTTTCAATAAGTGTGGGTAAATTGCTGTTGTTGCCAATTTCGGCAAATGACAAAACATTGTAGCGTCTGCCGTTGGAGAGTACTCTCAACTGAATAGAACAGTTGTAATCGCATGGCTTTATGACGGGCGAATGGGGCGATTGAACCCAGGTCTCAGTATTGTTTGTGTCCCAGCACTGATCTACAATACAGTTACTCGGGTCTGGTACTATGACGAGCAACGGTGGCCTTCTTGTAGTTGTGTGGTAGCATCCATTTGTCGATCTGAATGCCGAGCGAACAGGCCAATATGCCACCGACAGCTGCACGGAGTTGTTCTCTGTATTAGCAGCGCCTTGAAAGCCACATTTGGGAACCTTTGCTTATGATGATCATCCACCTTGCGCCCACGTAACTCTTCATGGTAGAACTCGGGCGGCTTCTCATCTGCATTCATACAAAATTGACGATTGTGAGTTTCGACTCGAAGCGTCGAGACCACACCATTATGTTCATCTAAGGCCTGACGGTGGCGTTTTCACAGTTGCTGAGCTGACAATACTTCATGCTGAGCAACATTACTGTATGAGTGAGATGATTTATAGAATCGGTACTGCGTTCGTGCTTCTATAAGAAAATTAGGTACCCATGCGCACACCCCCTTGACCATCCTCAGTTTATCGGTCATAACACGTACAGTAATTGCAGCAGGGATGTCAGTCTCGCGGGGAAACTCGACAAAGGTCCAGGCTCTGTGATCAGATATTCAGTGCCTGACTTCATCCACCCGTTTTTCTTGTGCAGGATGAATATTATGGGACCATCCACGACAACAAATTTTTTCCTTTCTTCCTTGTACGGGCTCCTGAACCAAATCTTCCACCGTGTATTTCGAGAACACCCTTACACACAACTATGGTCCGGCGCAGGTCAAATTTGAGCAGCGCACTTTCCTCTTATGACGTCTGATTTGAAAAACCGGCGCCGATTTTCACCACTCGGGCTTCTTTTCAATTTCTCGAGAACTTCTTCTGGGGCTAGGTTCGCCAAATTTCACAGATACACAGCTTAAGGTACTAGCTTCCAAATGGTATAGTAGCCCGCTGCTCTATCCCCTTTGCTTTTCTGCCATTCCTCTATATGTAGCGGCACGTTTGAATGGGATGACCTAATAATTGGGATCGAAATAAACGAATCGAGGTCCAGCAAAGACCAAAATGCTAATGATCCTCATTCATAGGCTATACAGTGCCACTTACCATGACAGAGTATTGCGTATCCACGAAAAATATCACCACTCCTAATGTTTAAAATGATCAAATAAGAAATCTGTACCTTTGCTTCGTCATCAGAAACAGTTCCGTCGTGGTCAGTGTCGAGATAGTTCAGCTTTTTTAGCTCGTCTAATGTTATCCTGAAGGATATTTCATTGATTCGAACGAAATTATAGATCGAAACCACTGTTTGAATTACAAACTTCTGATCTCCATTGGTATCGAGCTCCTTGAACATCAAGCTCGACTGCTCTTTTCTTCTTGCTTCTTTAGACGCTGAAAAACAAATACCTAATATCCTCCAAGAAAGGGGGCCAGGAGTGGGCAAAGAACTATTTAATATAAAGGCAATCTATTAGAGCGCGTTCAGACTTCGTGACCGCGCGATCCAGTTCGAATACGAATCTAATGCATCAGTAGCTGCGCTCGTTTTGTTTAAAAGTAAAGGTGTAAAGGTGTTTGAAGGTTCAAGGTCAATTTCCAGCAATACTTCCATGCGCTTCCCTAGTACTTGAACGAAGACTATGGGATGGCTGATTTGGCATAGCTGCTAGAGGCACTGCAGGCGACAGGGGGAGGGGGATGCGGGGGAAGAGGGGCATTTTGCACTTCAGCTGCTTCACTAGTTCCGATTCACAAGTCTCACTCTGGTGAAATCTGTCAAGTATTGTGAAGCTGGAGCAGCCTCGTCGAGCCACCGCGGTAAACTCACGAAAAGGCTGTGGGCGGGTCGACACGACGGTGAGAAGTAGCAGAAGAACAGAATGGCCCCTCCGTAGCCGAACCGCCCTGCACTGCTCACTCTACGCATGCGAGCCTTCAACCCCCTGAACCTGCTACATTAATGAAGTGAACAAACTTGTTCAATAGAGTAACACTGCTCTAAAGGAAAAGAACATTATGAGGTGAGTTCATACGTCCGGTGTGGCGCTTGCAAAGACCCGCCCGAGAAAATAATTTGTTTCGCAGCATGCGCTCGTTCATTGAATACAAATCAGTTCTTGCCCGTAGTTTATAAAAGGCAAAAACGTATGAAACGGCGTGACTACAACCTGCAGTGATTCCGCTCTTTATATCACACTAAGAAATTGGATAATCAAAAATATAAAGTTTCTCAAAAACTGGTACTCAATTTCAACTTTCATGTCACTAAAACCAACTGCATTCATCAGGAAAGCCCGATTTCACGATTTTTGACAGCACTTTACTTTCCCCTCTCCCTCCTCCTCTCGATAGACTATTCAGCAGCCAGTCACGATGATCATAAGCCTCCATTTACACAGTTCAGCGCGCGCTATCTTTAGATTTCGGTTGTCCCTCCCCTGCACTGTTTAGCCCAAGCAACTGCTCTCCACTATCGCCCATTCTGGAGCTAGAAAAGGAGTTCTATTCCTGTGCACAGAATAGGACTCAGTATCCGATGTGTAAACAAAAGGTTCAAGTTTTAGGGAAGAAAGGGCAGAAAAGACGTAAAAGGTAAAAACTGGGCATGATATTCGAGCATGCAAAAAATACTCGACCATTCCCATTAAATCCCATGCTTTCCTCGCCTCTTTAATTTGGGGTCTAATACATGAAGGCGAAAAGGGGGCCAGAAAGGGGTTCCGAGGAGAATAGAAAAGCTCAGGGTGAACCTCAAACTTCTCAGGTTCCTGTACAACCGTCCTTGTCATACACTTGAAGCACCTGAGATGCAGTAGATGGGGCTGCGCACTTGAACAGATCGTGGCGGCAGCAAGGTTTTTGCGACATATTTTCGTTTTAGGACAGCTGCACTCGATCGGGCGTAGTTACCAAGACAGTGTACGATTTTTGGAGTAGCAGATGATTCTTGGGGAAAACGATGAACCAACCTTCCCACGCTTCTCTATGCTTGTTCTTGAGAGCTGATTCTCGTTCAACAGCCGTATTCTTCTTCTGCAGAAGTTCCTCCTTGGTTGGAAGAAGCTTCTCTTTTTCCTCTTTGAGGGGAGCGACAGCTTTAAGCTTTTCATCCTACAAACAAAAGTGTCACAAGAAAATGAATCTTGAAGTTTGATAAAAAAATTTATGTGTAATTTATGAAGCTATATTGAGCCTGACATATGGGAATCGTCACAGATGAAGAAAGCAAGGATTTTCCGCACTCAAAGTGATATACAGGGGGGGGGGCAAAAAAAGTCACTTTTCTTCATTGACTTTCGAGGCGCTATAAGTTACACTTTATAAATTCTGATCGGACATTTTTACCACCATATTAAAGAGCATATTAAATACTATCATGACACTCCGCCACAGCCTTCTGGACGAGCTAGTCGATTTCTCCGCCACCGTAGACCACCCTATTGAACTCCGCCCGAACCGGGTAATTGAGGGGATTCAGGTCAGGTGACCTACTTGGATATTCCATCTTCTTTAGGTACTCAGTCCCTTACATTCCAAGTAGGCGAGAGTTTCTCCAACGCCCTTCGATTCCATGTGGTGGCACCCAATGCTGTAGCAGTACAAAGTTTCCAAGAAGGTACGGGCGACGACATGTGAGGAGGATATTCTTCACGAGTTGCTCGATGTAACCCAGCGCTCACCTTCAGTCCGGGTCCACGAAGAAAATAGGTCTTCCCTTTCAGGTACGTCCGGTCCATACCATCAACCCGCGCCTTGGCGACTGTGGTGAAGATGATGTCCTAGACCGTGGCGACGTTGTCGGAGCTGCTCGATGTTGGAGGTCATCCAGATCGAGAGTACTGGTCTCCAGGTAGCTATCCATGGGTGACTCCATACTAGAAGTTTCGCAGCTGTTTGGAGGTGACATGAATTCCAAAGGTCTTCTCCAGTCAGGCTGCGACTGGAGATGACTTCATATTTTGGTGTACATGAAGGTGATGGGCGAGAGCCAGCTCCTGCTTATCGAGGAACATCTTGGGTATCTTCCGCCCTGGTACTCGTATCCACGTCCTCTGTCTGGGCAGCGAAAACTTTGCTGATATGTGACTCGGTCGAAGTGACTTTTTTTGCCCCCCCCCCCTGTATGTTCTGGTTCGTGGCATGTCCGGCTGGTTTTGTTTGGTGCCGCGCCAAAAATCTATTCTCCACAAGTTGCTTGAATAGGTAAGGAACAACAATTGGTGGAAAACGACAGATGCGGACGATACGATACAGACTTGTCGATTGCTTCACAAATGGTTGGAAACTGGTTTGGCGCCGCGCCAAGCCTATCCCGTTCGACACGCCCCTTACCCCGCAGCGAATAAGACGGTAATACGGAACATATCGAGGACAATACCGCAGTACGAAAAGTTGTCTGTTGTTCCCTCATCAACGCAGGGATAGCGCTCAGTAATTTGAATAAACTAGGACGGATTTCATCATGAGACGCTGGTGTAGCACTGGTACGCTGTCAGCACGATTGCTGTTAAGAGATGAGATGTCACTGTCATCATATAACACATTAAGGGCGCATCAAAGGACGTCATTGGCAGTGATCCAAAAAAGGCTCATTCGTCATTGGCATGTTGCGGGTCTTGTCGACGTGTTAGATAGTAAGCTTCCCCACAACTCTTAACAGCTGGTGAACTTGTGCTACACCTGCCCTAATATTTAGATAATGGGATTCTGCTATTTGCAAGCATCCCTGTACCCCTCTCAACTCCCTATGCATTAATTTTATAGAATAGAATAACACACAAGCAAGTTCTAAATTAGCTTTTCTTGAAACCTGGACATCTGTAGAGTAGGTTTCTATCTTGTTATGCCGAGCAGGTTCGGTTTTAAACCGCTTTGCTGGTCAACGTGCCCAGCAGATCGTCTTCAAGACTTGAAAGTAGCTCGTATCTAATCTGCAACTTACCCGACTAAGCCCCCATCAAACTAGGCTAGTTGCAGCACATCCCAAGAGCCCAAAGCGAGAAACCAACCTCGCTGCAAAGAATTAACCTCCCGCGGTTTCACCAGCTTCAAACTACCTCTCAGCGCGCTGAAACAACGGATAATTGAACCACGTCTGGCACCCTTTGACGGCAGGCATTTGTGTGTTTTGGGAAATCACCACGGATGTACATATGACGTCTGGACTGCCAGTGGGGTTCATCATGCTTTGGGTTCAGTGTGCTGAATGAGAATTCAGAGCTGCTGAAACCGCGTTGGTTTACTTGCAGGGAGGTTTCCTATTTGGAGCTTTTGGGATGTGCTTCAACTAGTCCAAGATGATGGGGGCTCGATCGGGTAAGTGCAAATAAGGACCATGAGCCACTTTCAGGCCCCGAAGACGACGATCTGCTTTGAACGTTGACCAATAAAGCGATTTCACCAATAACAAACCATAACACGATGGAAACATACTCTAGAACATCTTGCGCTTCAGGGAGGACGAAGTTTCAAGCAGATGATCAGTTGAAATCTATTGGAAGGATTCACGACTTACCCTCAGCTTCTGTCCCTCTTCAGCCAACTGCTTTCTAGTAGCGAATCCCTTTCTGGCGATTTCTGCCAATCTTTTGCTTTCTTCTCGAGCACTTCGCCCCAACTCATCGCAGATATTGGGACATTCAACTGCGCCGCTATATTCATCGCTTCCATCGCAACAATCTAGAAGAAATCCATCATAAATAGGGTCGCTCTGCAAAATGAGGACATCTGATGAGGAACAAAAGAGATGAGGAACATACCACAAATCCTATCATTCACACGAGAAGATGGGATATCGGCCGCCTTATGACCTTTGTTCGCGCAGTGAAATTTGCCATTTGGACAGGCAGACGTCCCTACGAATGGACAAAGATTACATAAAAATAATGTTAAGGCGTCAAATGAATTAAGGCTTCGTCCTTACCCGGTTCGTCACTTCCATCGGGACAATCGCAGTAGTCGTCATTGACTTGGTCATAGAGAATGCTTTTGGAACCGTCGAGACAAATAAATTCGAACGACTTCTTATACAGCGCTCCTCCTTAAGAGATCCCTATCCACTGCTGCTTATGCTCATTTAACTTCAACTTTGTTATCAAGGAAAACAATGACTAACGGTTGTATGGAACTCCTCGAGGTAATGCCTCTATGTCTGGACCCCTTTCTGAGGCATAAGAGTACACCACAAGCAGGGTAAGAACGAATGATTCAAGGAACTTCATTCTGAAACAGGTACTGTACGATGCTCCAAATGCATTAAAATGACTCGAAATCTCTCAAATCTCAATGCGCGAAGCAGGGCGCCAACAGGTTCAATTCACTGAGTCTTCTTCTTCTTCATACCTTAAACACACTGTACGACCACCTGCGACGGGTACCCTTTCCGTGTGCGAGGTAGGCAGGAGTGATGCGGGGGTACTTTTGCCACTCAAAAGTCAACGAAAACGAAGCTGAAGCTTTGCGATAAATGGAATTTATTCAGGCAAAATGTGACGTGTGCACCGAGGTGTTATACCGCGTTCAGATTTCGCGATCGTGCGACCGAATCGCTCGATAGATCGCGCGATCACTAAGGTAAGTCCATCGGTGTAACAACTCGTCCGCACGATCCGATCGCGCGACCACCATCGCCAATCGGTGCGCCGGCGCAACGGCAGAACTCAAAATGGGCCACGTTCACACAGTATCAACTTGAATTGTGCGGTTTCGGGGGTGCGCCATTTGGCGGTAGAGCGCCCCGGTCGTGGTCGCGCGATCGCGAAGTCTGAACGCGGTCTTCACAGAGACATGAGAGACGCCAGGCTACCACACCTTCCCAGTTTCCGCGTACTTTTAAGTGGAAGAGGTAGTACAGCTCTACAACTATGGACCCGGACACCTTAAGCGGTATTTGTAAACGAAAATGAAAAATTTTGTGAAAATGTTGCTTTAGCCATCGCAATGGAGAGGTCATAGACCACCGCAGCATAGGACAATGTGAAAGGACGGTTTTTTTTCCAATGAGGCTACGGGATGGCGAGGTGATATATGGTTTTTCAGTGAGGCTACGAGGTGGGAATGCGAAATATCGGGTGTGGATAGTTAGACGCACGAGTTACCATAAAAAGCCGCAAAGTAAAGAATGCATAAAAGAGCCGAGTACTGATTGAGTTCGGAAAGCCGAGGTTTTTCGCTTTATGAATTCGTGATGAACACAAAAAAATTATGAGCACCTTGGAGAGTCGCTAAATCGCCGAAGTCGCGTGAGGCAGCATTCACAGCACGTTCATACTTCGCGACCCGATCGTTTGGACAGCACTATTGGATCGCTCGAGCAACTGGATCGCGCAAGCATGACCGGGGCGCTCCATCGCCAACATGTGGCCCATCGTAATTGCAGAATTCAAACTGGGCCGCGTCCACGCTCTGTATGAACCGGCCCAACTTGATTTCTGCTGTTATGGCGGTCCACTGATTGGTCGTGGGCGCTCCCGGGCGTGTTAGAGCGAGCGATGCGGTACGATCGCGAAGAATGAACGCGCTCTCAGGTTTTGCGATGACGCGCTACTGCGCGCGTGTACGCGCTACCACTGCAGTGGTGCTCCATTGCTACACACGGGCAGTCGCAGACGAGTATCAATCACTTATGGTTTCAGGCAGTACAGCAAAAAGAATTGCAGGCCCTGCCTTCACACAGTCTGGTGCTCTCATATTTGTCAAAAACCAGCCTATTGATACTCGTCCGCATTCAAGTCAAAAGCATTAGAGTCGTTACAATGGTATTGCGTCGATGCGCGTCGCGAAGTCTGAACGCTGCCTGACTGAAAAGCCGATGTGGCCGACTGCGAATACAGTCCCTCCTGTTCTTCAGTATGTGCTGCCTTAACTTTGGGGAAAAAATTACAGGACAGCAAGGTCCAATCATGAAAGACGCCTTTTCCTGACTGCTCGATGACTTTTTCACTGGATGCGTATAGGCTCTGTGCATGGATTTTAATTTTCTTTTTTTATGTAACAGCACAGTTTGTGAAAGGAGGTCGAATGAGCTCCACATCATGGGAGGTTTTGCAGACGTGCCATTTCCTGTAGTGGCATACTTGCCAATGATTTGGGGAGTGGCATGGGGGGGGGCATGGAGCTCCCAGATAGGTGAGCTGTAAATAAAGCGGGAGTTTTGCGATACAGGAAATCCAGTTTCGCATGAGAGCAATAGAAGGCGTTCTTTCCTAGCAAGAACGGGTATGTGGCAAGAGAATCGTAATTCGCCGCGCCAGGTGACGTCGCGTGCGACGTCGCGCCGCTAATGACGACGATTTTAGGTGGTATTGGTCGAGAATAGACAATGTATGACCAAAAATAGACATAAGTGACTACCATGTCCTTGAAGAAGAAAAGAAAGAGAAAACGTCGCGCCCATTGCCGCGATCGGCGAAGCGGCAATTCACTATTCTCTTCCCCGTCTCCCACCACGAACAGCGCCCACGCTAACGTTGCTCAGTCCTGGTCCTATGATCCTTTCAAACCCCGTGCGCAGAGAGCAACATAAGGCTGCTCTTATCAAAAACTGGGAACAGTATATTCTGGAACTGGGCCCTTACTCTTTTAAGTCATTTTTGAGGTTCGCGCACGAGTTCCTAATTACTGAGTGCGATATGCTTCCGAAACAGGCGGCCTGAAAGTGACACATAACGCGTCAGTAGCGAGCCCGTTAGACACTGTGTGATGCCTTTGAATAGAGGCCCTCAACACAATCTGTGAACTCTCTGCCTTCGTTCAAAGACAGCACCCGGGTCAAGCAATTATTAGGTGTCCTTCCTTGTACCTGACCCCCAGACCTTAAGACTATCCCCATTTCGCGGCTTCAATGGAAGTAACGAAAGCGCTGCGGCCCTCATAAGTGGCTGCTCTGACGCCTCCCCAGTTGCCCCGCCCACGAAACTAAGGCTATTTTCTGTCACGAGTTCAGTTTTTCTGCGCGTTTTTCCGCGGCAGGACATCGGAAAGCAATTCGCTATGATGCGCCACAAAGCGAACAGCCGATGCCCGTTAGAACTCGCTCCTAAAGGGCTGCAAGCGTCCCTTCAGTTGTTTCTTCATATTTTCTTTGCTTTTTTACTTTTTCGAAGTCACTTACGGACTATTAAGTTTGTAATCAAACACGCTATCATCCGCTTAACACACACGGCTATTCCGTCTGTGCGGTTTTGTGTTTAGCAACCCAAGGAATCTGTGAATACTACCAAGATGCGGGCACATTTACCATGGGAGAACGTAGCTATCTTATTTCAAAGTCTAATCTGATTTCGAAATCAACATCTGCGTATTCACGGAGGTTTTTGAGAGGAACCCTGGCAGTAGTGCTCTTACAATGAAGAAAACCAGACAAAGTACGAACTGGCGCTATTTATCACATTCAAGATGTGGGATTAAGTAGTGTGATAACGGAGATACGAGAACACAAGGGTGATGTAGGAAGGAGTAACTGGAATCACTGCGGCGATCTGATCTAAATACCCGGGAACAGGAACAGGAACGCGGTGTTCGGAAAGGATGTTTGTCAACACGATCCCATCTCGCCTCGACAGTTGACCCACTTTCAGTGCACCCCCTTAACTGACCAATCACAGCCGTCGTGACGTGTGTTAGTAGGCTCCGCCCTGCTCGCCTCTTGCATTCGACGCTTTTTTCAAATATTTTCCGTATAAAATTGTAGATGTCGAGGCCTTGTTCATTATGAATTCTCGTCTTTATGAGCCATTCGTTTGACATGATTTTTTTACTCGGGCTTTGGTCGTCAATTTTTACCATTTCTAAAATTTGCAGGAATTTTGTCAGTATTTCTTTGCTATTTACAGGGCATGAACCTGTTAGGATATTTCACAGTCATTGCTTTATCGACACTACTTGAATTTGTTGAATGCGGACGCGATTTCTACAAAATCTTAGGAGTTCCTCGCAATGCGAAACGCCAATCAGATTCAAGCAAAGCCTACAGGAAGAGGCAAAGGTATGGGTAGATTTGTATAATTTTTATAGGAAAATCATATTAAGTGTTAGAAATCATTATTACTAGTCTTCCTGCATAGAATACTTAATTACTTTGCATCTTTTTGCATCTTATTTACATCATCGCTTAATTTTATTACCTTGATGTTTGTGAACATTTCCTCAAAAACTTCTCTAAGAAGATCCCTACTTCTCCGAAAGAGCCTTCTTTACACGTTACATGAAACGGTGATGCGCCGGTAGTTAAAACCACTGATCCCATTTCGTAACTATACCCTGTCTACAGTTGCAAGTTTCCTCTCATGTAGTCCACAATTAGCAAGAAAGAAAGCGAGCTGTTCTAGGGACTGTGGCGCTATTGTTTGTCAGTCGTCCCAGCATTCTGAACGATCCTCTTGTAGAAGACCATTTGACAGCACACTGCGACAGAGCTTGTCCTCTCTCATTTAGAGCTGTTTCCGCCACCTAACTTTCCGTCCTTTTTTCACCATCCCATCGTCTTTTAAGAGGTCTATGGGACTGGTCTGTGCCAGGCTCCCGTTTCTTCCCCAGGCAAAACCTTAATGACCTTCAGTCCTGAGAGATGATCTTCTGATATGTACACGGTCTACCTATGCTGTTTGTAGGTTCCCTTTCAGGTCGTCGTTTTTTGTGAGGAAGATGTTGTAGTGCACTAGATCGCGAGCTTTCGCCAGGTCTAGGATTCTCTTTTTCATAGCGCTCGCAACTCCTATTCCTCTGCTTTGACTGTTCATATCACCTGCTATAATGGGATAATCCATGGTTCCATTGTTGATCCTATTCCAAGAGAACACGCAGTCCTTGAGGGAATATGCTACCGCTGTGGCCACGGCATTCAGTTTGATGTCCCCTCAGTTGTAGGAGAGTTTGATCCGTTCTCCTATATCCAGCAGGCATGCCCCCTTTCCAGCGGGGTTCTTGAAGGCATGTAGCTAAAATGTTCTTCCATTGCATAAGGACAGCGACCTTTCTCGAATTTACGGCTAGTTACTTCACATTTAGCGTCCCACTTCAAACTAGCTTCTCTGGCCATCGTTTTTCATCCTTTGTTAGACCTCGCAGAGCATATCGGCCAGAGAACTCGAGCGAGAGTGCCACTGCCGGTTGACCTCTGAGCATTATTACTGATTCTCTCGCTACTTTCAAACCTATTTATTGCGATTACGCTCATCAGCCAACCCGTCAGGATTTCACCCCTACCTTTCAAAAATGGCTAGCACCAGCGTTTCAGGCCGGGCGCTGGTGCTGGCAATTTTTGCAATGTATAGGTCAAATTTTTTGGTGGGAGTGTATACGCGAACGTTCAGTCTTACCTACCAGTCCACCTCTGGCCTTGCCCTCCCTTCAGTCATGAATTGTAAATTGATGAATAATGTGTATAGTAAATACGTTTCCCAGGGTTTCAAAGTGCGCCATTCTGCTAATGGCAGCTTTGGCGAGTATCTTAGATTCGTTCAGTGGACATTCCCTATTTTTCGGGCATGAGGTGCATCTTGTGTTACACTCACCCTTCGCCTCGAAGACGCACGCGCACTCTGACGTTTCCCTCTCTTTTTACTCTTGTGTGTTTTCTGTTTTTTATTATCTGCGTGAGTGTCCTGCATTGATAAAAGAATGCCCAAAACTAGTTAGGGGATTAGGAAATTTGAAAAAATGTACAAAAACGGGCTGCTATGACAAGAAGTTTTTCGCCCAGGTTCAAGCATTTCTGGGACTGCGGAGATATGCGCCATACATTAGAGTGATAAATAACTCCAGTCATTTATTTCAGGAGTTGCATCCGGATAAGCATGCAGACGACGAACTAGCTCACGAAAAGTTTCAAGATCTTGGAGCTGCTTATGAGGTGTGTTCGAATAAGCGGATTTCGTTTTTTACTACCGATTTCATTTTTTTTATCTTACTCGTCTTTTGGTTTGTTCGCATCCGTCAGCTGATTTCTTTACAAAGGCATTGTTCCCTAGCGAAATCATTTTCCCAGGTTCGCCTTGTAGTGTGTGCGAATATCGCCATAAAAAACATTACAAAACCCATAAAAACCGTTCTCATCCATTCTATGCCTCACTCACAGACATGATCGTGATGGTTACGTGGCTCTTTCGAACGAAAAATGCCCTCACCACAGAATTCAAGGGCTGCAGATAGGATGGCTCAGGAGTATGGGCGCTTGCAAAGATACTCCTGAGAATAGAAAATTATTTCCAGACTCTCCGACTTTTCGGCAGTATTGGCTCTTGAATGTCGAAGCCCCGGTCAAAAGCTCAGCTTCTAAATGTCTGAAAATTAGTCTGCAGGGGTAATGTGATCCCCTGAACATCGCAACCATCTGACACGAAACCGCCTGATCCACCGCGCCACAAGCGCCAATGTCAAAAAACCTCAAGTCACTCAATTCGTTGAAAACTCGTTCCTGAGGGAAGACTTCTTGAATACCACATTTAGAAGGGTGCCAAGGATTTTTAGGATGGGGAAGGAGTACACGTTACAGTGTTCTGCTTCTTCATCCCTCCCATTGCTAGGGCTGAGCCCCAATAGGAAGGTCTGCTATTGCAAGCAATCAGAAAAGGTACTGCCTTGTATCGCCGTGTTCCCCTAGTGTCCCAGCGCACCACTTGGCACAAAATGGCGACGGCACAACAGGCAAG